TTGAATCAAACACTTGTGCCAAATTCTAAGAGAACCAAAATTTTTCAATTATTATTATAGGCAGAAAGGTATTGATATAGTTTTTTTCATCTTCACTTAATTTTTCTGTAGGTCTTTTTCTTTTAGTGTACATATGAAACAGATGTATGAAACTTGCAGAATGTGCAGACTGTAAGTACAAAAACTTTAGTTTGTTTTCAACATTTGCAGTAATCTAACCATATTTCTTTATTATGTTTCTTTACAGTTAAACAACTAACTTATGCTGTAGTTGCAGAAACAGATAATATATTTTTATTAGTAATTATTTAGTATGATGGTCTGGATTATTTTGAAACAGCAGGAAACTTCCTTGAGAAACTTATTTGAAAAATGAATCAGAGAAGAAAAACATATCTCATCAGCTTCTTTTCTTATTGCTTATCAAAGAAAACCATTTATTTTTTGTGAAAAAAGAAGTAATCACTTTCTAGTCACTCAGGCAAGGATAATATTTTTTATTTTCCTTTTTCCCCCTCTTTTTTTCAATTAATTTTATAGTTCCAATATCCTTGGATAACAATTACCTACCAAGACGGGCAAAAATTGGGTTTCTTGAAATACCACCTACATAAAAATAATATTTGACCACAATTTAATGGGTTTTTTTAAAAAGTCTTGCTATTTCCATAGTACAGAAATTAATCAGTTGTTATCTCATCCCTTCTATTGCTGAGCTAGCTTCTAAGTTTATAGAGAAGGGAAAGGAATCTTCCCTCTTCCCCTCTAATATACTAAAAGGCTTTGTGTCATTTAAGTGGAAATTATGTTTGTACTGTGAATGACCCTAGCAACAAGATCATAGAAAAGGACTGTGCAATAATAAACACCAGGTTAAGAAAATGCAAAACAGCAAAACCAGTCTGGTTTTCCCAATGGAATTTTGTTTTTCAGAGAAACCTTGAGAAGCTGATTACTGCTCAGCTTTCCAACTATTTATTGCTGAATATATTATTTTACACAGAATGCAGACACCAATTCCTGATGCCCATACAGCAACCATTAAATCCAGCAGTGTTTATCAGTGGTAGCATAGAAGCAAGACATGTGGCTCTCTTTGGGTTTCCTACTAATATTAAAGGGAGGCTATAAAATTAATGTATAGGAAAGAAATACAAACAGAAATGGACTAAAGAATAAGATTCTCTCTATGACTGGCAAGATGGCCTGCACAGAAGCATATTCTAGTTTTGCGGAATTGAAAGACAAACTCTGATTTCAAAGAGAACCCCTTGTCTTGGTAATGATGATGACTCTTTCTGTATGAAACAGCAAAATGAATCTACTAAAATGCAGAAATGAAATGATCCTTAGAAGGCCCCCAACTTTACAAATACTTAAAACATATGAGCTGCTATAAATGACAGCATCTAAGTGGTTTGTACTTACTGTTGTTCTGTGTGATGACAAAAGCAATGCCATGTTGGATGCGTGAACTCAAGCTATTAATCCTGTTCTGACAAAAATTATAACTGGCCGGCTTTATCCCCTGAAACTGAGCAAAGGGTCAAAGGTGAAAATGAGGAAGCATGGCTTTTGTGCGTTCATTTGCATATTGCTAATTGAGAATTTCCACCCTGCAAGCAGCCATGTAACCTGCCAGACCCAATTCCCCAAGTACTAATTAAATCAAACATGAGCAACATGATCTTTTAAATTTTCTGCTGTGTATAACAGTGAGACGTGTAAAACTAAATATACATAGTTAACTGAAGTATTGGCTTGTAAGGGTTTTTAAACTATACTCAGAACAAAATTTTCCAGGTACTGGGAAGAAAATCCAGCCTGTGCTGGGAAGAATCTCTCAGTTCTTCTGGCCACTCAACTGAATTGACATGGAAGAGTGCAAGGTGAACAAGATGTGCAGTTCCTTTGGCACAATAATGATCATAGAAGCATTTTGTAGGACAGCCATCCTTTCTGTGAAGGGCGTTAAGGACCTTCCAGTATCTTATACACGTCTTTATGTCACCTCCATGTTCTCCACCTGCCACCTTTTTTATTCCTGCCATCCCTGCTGTTGATGCACTTGAAACATCCTTTATACAAGAGTTTGCATCTCCAGACTTGCATATCATGACTGGTTTCTAAGGGACATGGTAAGTGAACTGTGTCTACTGAGCTCAGGAGTAATGGGTGCAAATTAAAATAAGATTTGTATTTCTTTCCATAATTTTGTTGAGTTCTTTGGCTTTCTGTAATTTTTCTAAAACAAAGGAGCACAGAACTTTAGAAGAAGCTTTTTTCCCCCTTTCCTTTCCTAAATAGTGCTGAATGGAAATGGGCCTTTAGTTAATAGGGAATAATATCTCTTATTCTTACTTGGTCATTATGGAATTAGTCTGGTTTCCAGAAGGTTAATAGGGAGTGGCTTAAATCCTAGAAGATGGTTGTGATCTGGCATACCAAGGATCAAGAATTAGAGAGAGAAAAAGGCAGAGAGATTACTAAAATAGCTTATACAAAATTAAAGTATTGCATAAGTAAAGTAGGGATTTAAATGCAAGTGCATTAGCAGAGCATAAGCAAAGGATGCCAATTGTGCATGGTCATTGGTGGACATATTGTAAAGAGGAAGGAATATGTAAGAAACAAAGAAGGTGTATGTTCACTGCCATGTTGGATATCTATAATTTTCATGTAACACTTTTAAAAAATCTTAAATGAAAAAAACCCCCAAAACACTGAAGATAAGGTGCTGAAGATGGCATACAAACCAGGCAGATAGGCTTGAGGCTACAGGTGGCTACAACAGGAAGAAGTCCAAAAAATAGAGAAAATTGAGAAAACATGCTGGTTTGAGCTTATTGTGCTTCAAAACTTATGAAGAAGACACAAAAAAAAAAGGAGCTAGTTTTAGTTTACCCTGACAGTAACAATTTCTATCTTAAAAAGGTACTTTTTTATCTTAAAGAGACCAAGAGAAAATGAAGGTGGAGAGGTGTATTGAAACAATATGTATTGGTCTCTAGGACTCCAAGAGGTGGCCACTCTGGGAAATCAAACACTCTACAAGGCTTTTGATTTACATCAGGAACAAGAAGAAAAAAATGCCATATCCTATACAATGAGGCACATAATAGGGCTATTTTATTTTCCAGAAGAGCTGGAAAATAAAGTAAAATTTTTTCTGTTTTTGGTTTTGGATTTTTTTTTTGCTACAGTGCAGGGTAATTTTCATTTGTACAAGAAAGACAGAGGTAGAACAGCAAATTATTTCATGACCGCCTTTTGCAGCTTATTTCACTGCTGTGACTCTGGAGAGATGAGAAAGACCCTAGAGGCACTGACCTCATTGACTGATGTCGCTCAACCTTACATCAGGTTCTGAAATGACACCACCTTTGGATTACAAGTGCCCAACCATGCAGCCCTTCCCAGTTAATACATTAGGAGGCAGTACAGGGTTTGTTTGAGAATAGAAAGCAATTCAGCACAGAAGACAGTCTTCCCTGATGATATAATTTAGAAGTTTGTAAGTAAAAGTGCATTGCAGCAGGGCCAGTAGTAAGAATCAATATGCAGCTGATAACCAGAAAGAACCCACAGAGTTTATAATAAAATAGGCCAAAGTTATATTAGTGTGTGGCCAAAGAGCACAGGAGCCTCAGGAGCCTTGTTGCACTGCCTCCAGGTGACTGTGGGGAGGACAAGCATTAAAGGGAAGAAAAGGGTAATTTCTCTTCCTTCCACCTTCTCCTTTTTGGAGAAAAAAAATGAATGTAAATTGTATTAAATAATTGAATTGCTGCTGAAATCCTTTCCCAATTAAATGAAGAAATTCAAACAATCTTCACCTCCCAAATGGCCAAACATCCTTTTAAAAAATCTCTGTGAATATATTGTGCATATTCCTATGCCCCCATTTTTGTTTTGTTTCTCTGTCTGCATGCATCTATTTTTATAAGAAAGAATGTAGGTGGTTGAATAATAACAAATTTTTGTTTGTTCCTTTTTAGTGTTTTCCACCTACAGCCTATCCTTCACGTCCTTCAGAAAAGAAGGTTGCATATTTATGTGTAGTGCTTAATGAGAAAATACATCCTTGCATATGATATGCTCTGCTTCCTGTCATGTACTCATTATTCTCTTTGAGTTTACCAGTGCTTTTTGGTTTATAGATTCATGATTAATTTATTCTCAATCTACAAGAAAGCCCTTTTAATTCCAAGAAGTTGGTTAGATGAATTACCAGACACTACTTTATTTGGCCTGCTTATCTACTGGAATGATTTGCAATTATCATCCCTTGCCTTTCCTGAGTGAAAAAGAAATCAACTGCTGATGAATTTAGTGAGAGACAGGGAATGATTTGCAGATTTTAGGATTTCTAGCAGGATGGAGTCCCAGTCAGCAAAGAATGGTGTCAGGAGTGAAACAGTCCTGGATTGTCACTGCTGCTGCTTTGAGAGCAAATGGAGGAAGACAGACAGCCTGTGCTCCCACCAAGACATACAAGGGCACTGTGCAAGGCCAAGCTCGTGCAGTCTGCATTGCCCTGGCGTGCCCATGGCCACAGGCAGGCCCACCTGTGAAGGCACTGGACATGCAGGTGTCTGGCGTGCAGCCAGTGGAGACCTCGGCTGCCAGCAGGAGCTGCTTTTACTCACCTGCTTCTTCCAGCTGAAAGAAGCTTTCACATTGAACGAATTCTGTCTGCCTTGGTGCTTACTGTCAATGTACTCATCAACCTTTATGTCTGTTGGGTGGAACTTCAGACGCTTTGTGGTTGCTAATCAGGTGAGGCAGCAAAGTTGAAACCCCAGCAAAATGGATCAGTGTGTGTTGTGCCTTTTGGAAGCTGAATCTGCTAGGCAAACATTTCCAAACATGTTTTGGTGGCTTCAGATATAAATATTAAGACAACTGTGAATCAATCATTTATGAGCAAAAAGGGCACTGAGTGAGAATTTGGGACACCTGTGATCTATTCCCAGCTCTGCCTGTTCTTTGCTCTGAAGTTTTATTTGTGCAGCTTGTAATTTTTTCCTGCATGCTTGTACAACGTCTGGAAAAGGCGCTTCAGTTTTGGAGTGGTGCCCTCCAGTGCATCTGTAAATAATCTTGCTGAATTGTATGAGCATGCAGTGTCGAGGAATGTGGACTTGGGAGAGGAGGGACACAAAGCAAATGTGAAGACTTTAAGTATACAGTTGCATATGGGTGAGTAGAAAACATATCCTCGTGTGACTTTGTGCTTCTAGAACCCAATGCTGTCAGCTGAACAGAAAAATGTCATTGTAGTTAGTGTAATTTACCACAAAATGTTTCTATGAATCTTGTTTGGAGTCTCTGTGTGAGTATTATTTGTACAGAGAAAGAAGGTTGTGACATATGCTTAGGAATACATGTTTCATTTAGGAAATTTCAGTCCTATTAAAAATTTTGAGGTCATATAATATTACAGCTGCATTAAGAATTCATAGTTGGATGAAAGAAAATAGGTATCTTGTGTAGATTTGTAGTACCTTAAAAAACAAGAGAGATTGTATTCATTCATCTCTATGAAAGTAAAAATAAGCCTGTCTCTTTCTTACCACAAAGATAAATTGATAGCATCTTTAAAATACTACCAGTGAGAAAAAGGGAGTATTAGGATCAGGTCTAAGACTTTAAATACTGAGAAAAGCATTTAACAATCACACTCATCTGCTTGAGGCAGGTGTAGCTCATAAGGAGGAAAGGAAGGAACAGCTGTATCTTGGATAAAGGCTCCTTGGCCACACAAAGATAAATAGCTAACAGCTGGTTTCCCACAAGGGGTTACTTTGCTGTAATGCCCCTGTTTCTGCTCCCTTGCTTAGATGAATCCTCTCTTAGGCCAAAGGGATGACGTGTTTATACATCATGGAGACAGATGCTTTCATCCTTGAAGATGATAATTTATCCTGGCTGTGGAAAATTAGTTCTCATTGGTCACATTGGGAGTGGACACAGATGTTGTGTATTATGGTGTTCAAAGTCACACTACTTGTTAGGGTAGCAATGCAGCATAGCTTTTTTAGACATGAAAAATGCTGAGTAGGGAATGTACTTCTTCATGCATTTAAATTCTGGATTTTAGTATAATTTATGAAGGTTTGCAAGGTTTGTTTCTTTTAAAGAGAGTATGATAAGAGATCTTCATTGGATGCTTTACTATTCTTTCCAATTTTGCAGCTGATATCCTGGCACAAACACAATATTAATCACAGTGGGGCTAAAATTACAAATGTAAGGTATTTCAGCTAAATGGAAAGGGCAGTCTCTCACTCTGAAGGCATTGATGAGGACCTCAAAGGGGATGACAAGAATCATCTTCCTGTCCTACTTTTTCTACCTGTAGGATGGTGAGGCTATGTGATAGTACATATCCAAGAGTAACTGAGTCCTCTTTTGCTGACTTGTGTTGCAAGAGCTGAGTTCTGTCATCAAACCTGCAAATAACATCTAGTTTCATTTTCAAGAAAAACAGTCTGAATATGGACATTTAGTAGAGTTTACAAAGCATAATATTGGGGTTTTATGCCTCCTCCCCTCTATGGAAAGTGCTGAAAGGTACAATCCAAAGTTTATCTTGCACTGTTCTTTCTTTTCTGCCTGATATTTATTGGTTTTGGCACATGAGTGAGGTATTTTCCTGTCTCTGGAGATGGCCTGGAAAAAATTTGTTCTTCTTGGGTGCATTACTAGCATACTCTGTAGATCTCAGAACTGTTTTTAGGATTGATGCTTTTCTCAAAGGCTATTTGAAATTATACACTTCTTGTTGTTTTTCTTCCCCAGCATGTGCTGTAATGCAACACACATCCTCGTGGACTTCTTCACATATACTAAATCTTGAGATTCAGAGTTTTGACTTTGCATTTATTTTGATAATTATTACAATAAGCTTATTAAAATAGATATATAGATGATGACACACATAGTCACTTGATATATATGGGTTGTAGCAGCTATCCAAACACATAGTAAGCACAATATCTATTTCCAAATTTTAGCTGAAAATCTAATTATGTAATTATGAATTGATAGATACAGGCAAATCTGATACAACATGAGTTTCCCCAACAGAACTTTACATGACAGAGGAACATGAAAGAGCTTAAGAGACTTTCCAGTAAATCTTTCCAATGCAATTATTTTTCAGAAGCTATGCTACAGAGAAAATGTATGCCTTCTTGAGTATCATCTGATGTTTGCCAAGAAGAATTGGTAATTTTTATGTGAAAATTGTGAGATATAATTTTCATGCACTTTGACTTTAAGGGCAAATTAATATATTTTTTTGCTGCATTCAGATTTCTTAAAAGTTTATTTAAGCAAAAATGTACTCTAATTATAAATATATATGCTGATTCCTTATTTTGTAAGTCAATTTTTCTTAATTTTTGATTCTATTAGCTAGGTTGTATCTACACATTGCAAACTAAATTTACCGGAAAGGGAGCTTTAAGTCACAAATAGAGGGATCCTGCTATCTTTTCTTCTTTATCTTCCATCCTGGTCCTTCATGTTCCTGAATATACAGAAGTCAGTGGGAACAGAGACTCTAAGTGATGCCAACTTGACCTGACAGACTCAGTGTAATTTGACTGGTGCTGAGTCAGAACATAATGTATGTAACAAGGCTAATATAAAGAAAAATCAATTTGAAAAATAACATCTTTTATGAAAAGTAAATGTCCAGCTTTTTCTTGGTATAAAGTTTTATTTTTTAAATAAATACTGATTTGCTTTTCTTGTTACAAGCTTGTTTGCATGGTTTAACCTCAGCCAACAGCTCACCCCCACACAATCACTTGTTCATTCTCTTCTGGTAGGATGGGGGACAGATTTGGAAGGGCAAAAGTGGGAAAACTTTTCTCAACTCATAGCTTGAGATAGAGAAAGTTTAATAGGGAAAACTAAAGCTGCACAAAGCTACACAAAGCTTCCCAGCAGGAAGGAATTAACTCACCGCTTCCCATGGACAAACAGTCGTTCAGCCATCTCCAGGACAGCAAGGCTCCATAGTGCACAACAGTGACCAAGGAAGGCATCACTTTGAACAACCCCCTATTCTTTCTTCCCTGCAGTATTTCTGCTGAATGTGACACCTTATGGTCTGAACAGCCCTTGGGTCAGTCAGGGTTAGCTGTCTGGCTGTGACCCTTCCCAGCTCCTTGTGCTCCCCCCGCCCCCTCGCTGGTGGGATGGGGGGAGGAGCTCAATAGGCCTTGGCTCTGTGCGGGCACTGCTCAGCAGTAACAAATCCATCCCTATGTTACCAAAGCTGGTTTTGGACAATTCCAAAACATAGACCCATAGTAGCTACTATGAAGAACCTTAACTCTATCAGGGCCAAAAGTGGCACTGTTATTGAAAGGGTATTTTCTGATGGAAAACTCTTTCAATTAAAGTTTTCCAGCAAAGTTTGAAGTACAGACTTCATAGATCTTTAAACATTGTGAGATCATTTTTACTTTTTTCTTTTTGTCTTTTTTAAAGGAATTTATTAAAAAGGGTCAAATTGTGCAGGGTAACAGGGGCATTAAATAGGACTTTTGCAAACTTAGAACTTTCTTCCATGGAGAAAAATCAAAAGAAAAAGGAGAGCAACCAAATCTTTATATTAAAGGTTTGAATTGTATTTGTTTGAGTTAATTAAATCTTATCACATTCATATGCACTTTCTAATTAACAATTAGCCATGTTTTCTTTGTAATAAATGAGAAATCTTTCAGGGACATGAGAATGGATAAAAGCATGCAGCAGCTTAATGAATCTCTATTTTATCTTTGGAGAGCTAAGTTATATTTAGCAACAGTGACAAACAAAACTCTACACTGGTTTATGGTTTCAAACGTGACAATTTCTTTATGAAATCAGCTATCTGCAAAAACAAAATATTCCAAAAATAGTGTTCTTCAGTACATAGTCTGTATACTCCAAATGAAAGTGAAGAAAGTAAACTTGTTTTAAACAATCGACTAAGACTATTAGGAAGAAATGCTGCATTTAACAAGACAGCTTAACGTGCAAGAAATATAGGCAGTTGAAAACACCCACATTTGCCCTAAATTTTTAAAAGATCGTCACTTCAAAAGTCTTGATCTTTACCAAGGAAAAAAATATGTTACTTCCTCTTCCTCCTACTTAACGGAAAATTTCATGGTTTAATAAGTTAATGAGCAAAGGCAAACGGCAGATTTCCACAAAGTCTTGGTCATCCTGACCAGGTAATTGAGGTTAAAACTAGAGCCTGCTCTGTCTACAGTAGATTTAGCTGTGTGTGAGTTGGTGTGTTTGTCTTACCTAACCTCTTTCAGAAACATCCTTTTTCTTCTTGTAAAGTCATAAGACTTTGATGATTTAACCGTACTTCCATGAAATGGATTTAAAGCAGCATTGGCTGTGTCTAAATCTGGGTCTCCTACTGGCAAGTAAGAGACAAAAACCCTGCATGTAATCCTCGCTGCTCTTCTAGGTTTGCCTACTGGGGATATTCTCTTTGTGCAAATCACACATCATTGGGCCAACGGCAGAACAACTCTATAGTTCTGCAGTTAATATCTGTAAAAAATTAACCCTGTCCTGGACTAAACTAGGACACTAGTGTATTGAATTCCTAGGTTATTTTGGGATTGAAGAACCCATGTCAGTGTTTTAATGACATTTTAAAAAGACTGTATTTGGAGAATGAAGATGGGTACTTCTAATCACACAAATATTTTTCAGATGAGAGAAAATCTTCATTATTGATATTAAACAGTCATCATATAATTTTTGTTTGTGCATTCTCCCTTGGTGTCTGCTTAGTGAGAGATTTTTGCGCTAATGCCATTCTCCCTGGGAAGAGCCTTGCTTATGACACATTTTGAACTGTAGATGGTGTGTGATGAATGTACATTTCTGACCACTTTAAGAAAGGAACATCAGTTCTGTGGCTTAATTCTAAACCTGGCCAATATTTTGTCTGATGTCCCTTGAATAATTAGTTGGGCAGTCTCACTTCCAGAACCATGTCCTGGAAAAGGACTTAATTACACAGCAAGATGGTGATTGATACAGCCAAAACAAACATTTGTAGGTGCACAGGCCAATTGCTGGCTCTGTGTGTCAGCATTAATGGTGTCTCTAGAGGTAGTGCCTTTGAATATGTAGTGTCAGAGGTGCTGTTGATGGTCTATCATGGACTGCTTGGTTGCAAAAATTTAGTTCCCTTTGAGTACCATTGACATCAATAGAAATTAGGAATACTCACATTCTGGGAGGATTTAAAGCAGAATGAAACTGGTTGTGTAGTGTTTCTTCTGTTTTCTTTTTTCCCCCCTGGTTTTGTTTGTTTGTTTGTTTGAATTAGTTACATATACATGGAGAATACAGTGCTTTCATTTCAACCATTTGGAACCAGGAAGTAGGAAGTTATGGCACAAAAGTTTATATTTTTATGGGGCTATAGTGATATTTCACCAGTGTGAAAAGCAAATGAGAAGATATTCTCCACCACAAAATCTTCTTGTCTGTTGTGAACTAATGTTCACTTTATCCTGTGACCAATACTGGATGTTTAATGCTGCAGATACCTGCTTACTTGCAAATGGAAACTCTATTTCCTTGATCTTGCACATTTAATGAGATGGACAAAGTCTTCTAATTCCAAAATCAGAGGCTTCTTCATAAGACTTGAACACCGTACAAGGTCAGTCTTATGATGCAAAACCATCTGGTTGATAGATAATTTTGTCATGCCCCAAGGCCTCAGCTGTACTGTGTTAGGTAAGTTGCAGACTTTTAACAATGATTAATGATGTGCTCTGATGGCAAAAATCAGAAGACAGACACAGGAAAATGTGGCTGTACCAGAGGTGAGATATAAAGGCACCTAGTGCTAAACATTTTAGAGTATTCTTAGATTTGACTTGTGTAGCAAAGCCATTTTATCCAGAAGATCTTTCCTCAGTACTCACATCTTCTCATACCTAATGGGAAGTACAGGTGAAAGTAAGTACAGGGAAAACAGGTGAACGATTGTGATCAAAGGTTTTAACTGATTAAAGCATGTGAATGTACCAACATTCTGGTCATCTGACTTTTATTTTCTTCCATGGCCTTCTTTTTTATCCTTCTGTTATGATTTAAAAAAACAAGGTTAATTGTTATTTTACAAACAAACTTATTTGGATAATCATCAAAATATTAATAGTAATAACAACAATAACAATAAGAGCAGCAATTTCTGGACAGTTTCTCTTATCTAAGCACCTGGAATTACTTTAAGATATAAGCTTCTCAAGCCCTATAATAATATTATGTCTGTTCATGTTCTACATCACTATGAAGGGGTGATTCAAAGATTTTGTTCAGACAAGTGTAGAACCTAGAAGAGAATTTTATTTCAGCTTTTATTTCTCAAACATCAAAGTTATCTAGGGCTTTATAGTCACTGAAAATATTTGTCTTCTTGCATAAGGGTTTCCTTTCCATAAATTTCTTTGAAAGAAAGTACCAAAGAGCAACTGAGCTGGGGTTCTGTACTTTCCCTACTTGCAACCAAAATGGGTAAATGCTGCATTATTTTCTCTCATGTTCCCAGACTCAGGATCCCACTCAACTTCTTCAGGGCCTTAAGAAGAGGTCCGTGTCTACTTTCTTCTAACAAAGCATGTGAAGAAAGGCACACAATAGGCATGAGAACAATAAGAACAAAGTAGTAGGTAAGTTATAGACTTGCAACATTTCTAGTGTTTGTTTTTGCCAATATACTCTTTATATTTTAATAGATAAAGAGACCAAACAGTTATAACCTATCTTTGCTAAAACTTTGCCAGTCTGCACTTTTACCTTTCTCAAAGGAAAATATGCAAGCCTGTTACCATGTGTGCTACTCTGCTGAGAATCTTCATTTGTGACAATAAATAGAGTCACCATCAACAGGGGAGAAGCTGTCAAGGGAGACCAGTATTTAATTCTGTTGAACCAGCTGGTCATGGTGATCTTGGAACATATAACTAATCCATATATGTTTCTTTACTATTATGCCAAGAGTTTTCAACATCAGCTGATAAAATCTCTCTCTTAAAGGTGTTTTTAGTTTTATCTGTGGGAAATGTTTTCTTTTGCTTACAATGAATAATCTTTTGGAATGTCAGAACTAGTTAGGTTTTGAAGAACAATTACTTTAAAATTTTTGCTAAAAAAAAGGGAAAATTTACTTCAGTTGTTTGGAAGTGATATTATAGTGAAACAGTTTTCCGTGAACAAAAATGTTATGTCAAGTTCAGTTTGTAGAAGATGTTTCTCAAAACACTGAACTTTGGTCTAAAATCTGCTTCTGCGTTATTGATTATTCCATTGACTGGACATGGAAATAGACACAGATATTAGATTTTGAGTTTTTTCCTTTCTCCTTGACTAAAATCTTGGACAAACTACTCAAATTGAAATAAGGAGAAAAAGAAATTGGAAGAGTACTTTTATCCTAGATGATTTCTTAGCAATTTCCTAGTTAGCAGTGTTGCGGTGTTATCAAGTCCAGAAGGCATGCCAGAAGCACTATGGTTCATATTTCAGTAAATTCTATCCTGTAATACTTTTTTGTTGGAAATAGCAATTTATCCTTATACTAGAATCCAAGCCAGGATTATATCTACATGTATATTACATTGTAGATTCTCTGTATTAGATTCACACAGAGTATGACTTCAGACTCAGCTTGGAGTTATTGTCTCCCTTTGGAGGAGGTTAGTTTGCTTATTTGCTGTGCTTTTATCTCAAAAGATTTCTGTGTTTACAGACAAGAAGAGCTGGTTGGGATGTGAAGGCTGAGGGCAGATTTGTCTGCTGTGACCCTGAAATGGTGAAGTTTGGGATCCTGAGAGAGCCAGGGAAATGACAGGATCACAACCCTACACTTCAGAAGAACAGATTTTGGACTGTTCAGAGAGTTACTTGGAAGACTATCGTTGGGTTACTGCCCTAGTGAGCAGAGAAGAGGAGAGAAGAGGAAGATCAGAGAGTCACTTAATTTTCAATGATCACCTACTCCAAGTTCAAGAGCTGCTGATCTGTTTTAGTAGGAGGTCATGTAAAGGTGGCTGGACCTCCTCTGATGAACAAGGAACTCCTGGCAAAACTGGAGTATAAAAAAAAGGTGTACAAGAAGTGCAGGCAGGGACAAGGGCCCCAGGATAAACCGAGAGAATTTATCTAAGTGTGCAGGGCTGGACTTAGGAAAGTCAATTTAATCTCACAAGGCACATGATGGGCAACAAAAAGGATTTCTGCAGGCATAGCACAGCAGCACAAGGAAACCCCAGAAAATGCGGAGCACCTGCTGAATTGGTCAGATGACCCTGTGACAATGAGCATGAAATATCTTCTTTTCCTTGGTCTTTGCTAGTGTGATTTACTTTCACAAACCCAGATCTGGGGGATCTGTGCCTGGCCTCAGTCAGCAGCTGGTAAGCAATTACATTGGATTTGATTTCCCATTCCTCTGATGCAAGCACAGAATAGTCAGGGATCTGTCCAGTGACAGGACAAGAGATGATGCACACAAACTGAAATACAGCAAATATCATTTAAGCTTAAGGGAAAAAGATTTTAGAGTGCATATGGTCAGACAGGAAAGTTATGGAGTCTCAGTCAGTGGAGGTATTCAAAACTTGACTGGACACAGTCCTCATCAACCTGCTTTAGCTGATCCTGAGGAGCTCCAGAGGTTCTTTCAATCTCAATTGTGACCTACAGGCTGTGCCTTACTGCTACATACGCTCCTCTATGTTCATGGGTAAGGACCACATCAGCTTACTTCTCATGAGGAACAGCTCCTCATGGTGACTTGTCACCTGTAATTACCCTGAGAATCTGGCGTCACTTTGTGAAAGGTTCTGCACAAAATTTGTATCTTCAACTTTTTCTGTCATGAAGAAAGTGCAGCCTAAATATGGAGTTAAAACAGGTGTGCGCAAGACATTGTAATGGTAAGAACATTAATAACAATGTAAGAGTCACAAACATCTAATTTAGTACCACAGGTATCAGAGCAGAAAAGGTTAGGGGTTATTGATTAAGAAGGCTTTGCAAATGTTTAATTGCCCCCTTCCTATATGAAAAAGTGATACTGTCATAAGCTGCATAAATTGCTATTTGTTTTATAACAAAGGTTCTATCTAAAAAGCAGTATGCTTACAGTTGCCTTCTTTAAACAGGATGTATTTTCTTTAGTTTTAGAAAATATAACAAAATATGGTATCTGAACATCTGTTTATAGAAGTTGGGAAAGCTGTGTAAATCTTTAATACTGTATGCTTGTTCTCTTGGTTTCTGTCATCATCTATAATTTAAAGCAACTAAATCCTGGATTTAGAAAGGCTCACTATTTAGCTAGATCCAGGAGTAACACACAGCATGCCTGCCTGTTTTTTCCTCAGGGTGCTAAGAAAGGAGCCTGGTGCTTTGATGAGGTGATAAGATACAAGGATGGTTACAGAAATGTGGAAGGGCCACTAGACACATCAGGGGTAGCACCACAGCCTTAGGCTCTCCTCTGCGGCCAGCAGCTATGAACTTCAGCAGAATGTTCAATGGAGAGTAAAATTTAATTAGAAGTGAATTGTGCCAGGATCTTCTGCCTTCATTCTAAACATGATAAGACTTGACAGCACCTCTGTCCATTCAGGGTGAAATTTATTGAGACTTTGCTATCATATATCAACTTTTTGGAATTAAAAGCAGTCCAGTAAAATGCTAGTAAAGAAAGCATCTAACGATTTAAGTTTAAAAATGTCAGCCTTCAATTCTTGCACCTTTACTAGATGTACAATTTTGTGGAGTGGTCAAGAGTTATGTCAGCAATTGCAGGTTTGTATTGTGATAAAAAGGGGCTGCTGCCTTAAATCACTTGCCCTTACTTAATAATTTTTTTTGTTTTTAATTAGAATAGCAAATGATCATGTTAAGAGATGAATTTCTATAATTAGGGTTCTGTAACTTGTATATTCTTTCCACTGAAGATTTAAAACAAAGGCAGAAGAACAGAACACAGGACAACAATGTGTTACTTAATATATATTTGGAAGTAAAATTTACTGTCTCAGTAAGAATTAGGAGATTCTTCCAGGACAAAAATACTCAAGTGCATTTCTTGAGATTGATGATCTGATTAACATTTAGCATTTTAAATATACTGAGAAAATGATTTATTTAGGAGATCCTCAGATGTATCACAAAATGAGAAATTTAAGGGGCCAATGTCTCTCGAGAAGCAAGATGATAGAAAAAATAAAATTTCAAACAAAAAAAAATTAAAAACTAGTTTAGATTACAGTTAAGATTAAGTATAATTTAAAACTAAGCATAACATTTTAACCAGAAGGGAACATTATGAGTTTATATTAACTACACAAGGGCTGTACCTCAGAAAGACTTCCTTAGAAATCATGGTTATAAGTAGGTAGTTTCTTACTAGTGTGATACTAACACTCTTTTTTTACTTACAGGAAATTGATGATGGTTCTATATACATTATGAGCACAGCCTGTATCAGTGTAGTTTTGGGGTATATATGCAGATCATCTGACTCTCCTGCATTCTTTACCAGATTACCCTTTCTCTACTCCAAGCTGATCAGCTCATGATTTTGTACTATTGATACTCACTGCATCCTTTCTCCACAGCTGGGATTCAGAGATCAAGGTGTATCTCAGAGGCTTATAGGTTACCCAGAACTGCAGTCTGCTGTTCCTTTGCTTCTGAGGTGTGGGGTCTTGAGATGGAAGAGGAACTACTCAGCCGTGCTGTGGCTGAGGTCTCTTAGCAGGGCCATGTATATGGAGGGGTGCCAATGCCAATGTGCCAATTCCCATACAGAGGAAGGCCAGTGCACCCTTTGGGAAAGGGAGTAGTCTTGCACAAGCTGTGTCATGCTCTGAAACAGATGTGATGCAAGACCTCTGCATGATTTTGGCCCTGATGTTATTGCAGGAAGCTGAAAATTGTCCACCTACTTCATTATAAAACTTGGTGTTTGCTTTGATAATCACCATACAGTTATTAATTTTAATAAAATGTAGATAAGATTTTGGAGTATGATATATTTCTGGTCTGGTGTAAGTTATGTCTGAATAAACTCTATCTTGCCCACATTATAAATGGGTGGTGTACTGGCTTGCTTTCAAACCACACCATTATCAATATCTCCATGTTTACTTGTTTGCAGTGCTTACAGAAAGCCCTGGATATCCCAATCTTCATTAAGCAGTGTATTTAAGATATTTCCAAAATCTAGAGGTAATACAAGATGAAATATATAAATTCTGAGAATTCTGCCTTGATTATTTGTGGAACTTGAAGATGGTATTGGCAGTCAGCTGCTGGTATGCAGTGTAAATTCAGTGGGAATCAGCCCCTGGCATGAAGAAAGTGATGTCATTAAGAAGTGGTGTGCCCTTCTGCCGGGTACAGTTATCACTTATAGGAACCTTGTAACAAGGTAAACGTGTTCTGACTCTTTTTAAATATTCGGTTGTTCAATTGCCTGAGGGGAGGAAGGTTAAACTGTACACATTAAAGTGTGTGAGTGCATATGTATGTATGTGTGTGTATGTTTTTCATCTGAAGGGATGGATAGCCTGTGAATAGAGTTCACCAAATGTCTACTGAAGAATTAAATGGTTGCACCTATATTAATGCAGCAGCATTGAAAGTGCACAAGGCTTGCATGACATCAACATGTCCTGTTTTCCTGGCATCTCTCTCAAGCAGCTCTCAGGCACAGTTTGGGGGTCAGAACAGGCTGTGGTCCCTTTGCACAATCAGTCTGGATTTGGATTTCTGTGCTGGAAATGTAAGGAGTTTTATTTGTTTGGTTGGTTTTTTTTGTGCAAGGTGTCCTGAAACAGCTGGTCTATGCATCAGAGCACAGAATCTGGTCATTTGAGCATCACAGCCAGCAACAGAACCATGGATCTGTTCAGGTGGGAAGCAGAACTGCTGGATGTGAACTGGAGGACTGCCTGTTTTGCAGTAATTAATCATCACATACCATAAATCCTGGTGAGTGCAAACTGTACTGCAGAACATAGTTTACTCCTGTCCAAAAAGTGTTAAATATTGTAGCATCAGGGCTGTGAATGACAGTTTCATAGATTGACCTGATGTGCACATTTCAAATATGCTAAGCACACCAGGCCCTGTAGAAAAATATGCTGATTATTTTAGTGCCAGGCAGCCAACTTGCAGCTGTTCAGCCTCAGAGGTGCTTCTTAGGCAGGCCTGCAGCTTCTTGAAAGTCCCAAGTGTGTCATTTCCCTCCAGATGTGTGGAAAGATGGCTCCCAAATCCTGAATTTTACAATGGTCTCAGCTGAGCCTTCTAGTAACACTGATGCTGGTAGTGTTAGATGTGATAGCATAGACACTGGTGTCCCCTCTCAGTTCTGAATGCAGGAAGCACAGGTTTCCCTGCTTCTTGCTCTTTGTAGAAGGAGAAAACCATGGTGGATGAACTATGTCATTTTAGTTGAAGAAATGCATCTGAATAATCCGTCAGTTCATTCACCATCCTCTTTCATGCATTCTTAGTAGCTATGTTTTATATGGATAAATTATATTGACCCAGGACTTGTCTCTGAAACTGAGCCCAGCTGACAAACCGGTGTGGTTTATTTGTACTATTTGTACTATAAGAAAGATATTAAAATATTAGAGAGCATCCAAAGGAGGTCCAGAAAGATGGTGAAGGGCCTTGAGGGGAAGCCATAGGAAGAGTGGCTAAGGTTAATTTTTCTGTTCAGTCTGGGGAAGAGGAGACTCAGTGTAGACGTCATAGCTGTCTACCCTTTAATTTGAACAACACATTACTCCTTGCTCTATCGCTATGGATTCAGACAAAGAGTAGTGTCTAAGTGTATCTTTGAGGTTAGAAATGCTAAGGTAATAATTATATAGATTCTCTTACATAATCAAGATGTATTTAACATTCAGATTCTCTCTGTTCAGCCAAAGGATGGATAGAGGCTTTGCAGAAGGGTGCTTATACAAATGGCTAAAGTGCAGGAGTAATTTCCACACTTGTTTCCAGAAGCATACAAAATTACAATGTAAGAGAAATAAATGCTTAAACATCTCTAGATTACAATCTGAGGAGTAAGCAAAATTTTTTTCTACAGTGAAAACCTTTTAAATAATTTGGAGCTACTTTTCAATTTATGACTGTTGAAACTATTTTCTTGACAAACACATGGTCATGAGAAGAAAAGCTTAAAATAAAGTCAGTCCTCAGCAAGCATTGGATTATTTAATGACTTTATTAGTACAACTAATTTTAAGCTTTGCCTTCTTCTTCAGCTAATTTAAAATAATAGCAAAAAACAACAGCAACAAAAAAGATATGGGGAGATTGGCAGGCAGAAATGTGCCTTACTATTGTACTACTACTTGACAAGTGTCCATTGAGTGACCCCACATCACTCCATTCTAACATATAAACGTTTAATATATAGCTACTGTGATTTACATTCTAATAGAGCTGACAAGGCATCTACAATTTAATTTGAAAAAGTAGAAGTTCAAGGACAGGAATTTCAAAAAGTCTACCTGGTGACTTTAGAGGACTCAGACTCAGACAGCTCATAGCTGTATAGTCATGCTCTCTTCTTTATTTTAATACACACCTCAGGAACATTGTGCTATGGTGTGTAGTCCTGTACGTCAAAATACAACAAAAAGCTCCTGAAAACACAATAACATAATCTTCATTCAGAGAGGAATACTGTATTCCAGATGACACAGCAAACAAAAGGTTGTCCTGACTATTCTTAAACCTTTCAGAGAATCTCAGAATATGCTGAGTTGGAGGGGACCCACAAATGTTACTGAAGTCCAGCTCCTGGCCCTGCACAGGACACCCCAAGAGTCACACCAGTGCCACAGAACATTGCCCAAATGCCCCCCGAAATCTGTCAGGCTTGGGGCTGTGACCACTTCTCTGGGGAACCTGTTCCAGTGCCCAATCACCCTCTGGGTGAACAACCTTTTTGAAATATCTATCTTAAACCTCCCCTCTTTTGAGGCTGAGCAAGACGAGGGACCTCAGCTACTCCTCATGTGGTTTCCACTCTAGACCCATCACCATCTTTGTAGCCCTCCTTTGGACATTCTCTTATCACTTTATGTCCTTCATATATTGTGATGCCCAAAAAGGCACACAGGACTCTAGAGAAGTTGTTATACCTGCATGAAAGTTGTCTGAAAATCCTTTTTCTCTATTTTGAAAGTAGTCTGTTTTTTGTTTATAGATGTAAAACAAGCAGCACATTCTTAATGACCTACTGCTTGAGGGTGATCTTTCAAAATGCAGTGCAGCACTGTTCTGGAAGAGGTTGTTAAAGTGTTGCTAGCTCTTCCCTAGTGGAAATTTATTCAGGAAAATAAACATTTATCATTAGTGGGCTTCTGCTCCCATTTCATCCTGCTAATGAATCTCTTCTACAAGGATTAGATGTTGATTAGATATAATGGCTGTTAATGATCTTATCTACTAAATTAAGGCAGATGTTAAGGGATTTATACTTAAAAATACCTCATGTGGTAAATCTCAGGAGTGTGCAGAAGAAAGGCAACACTGTCTGCATTCACAGTGATAACAAATTAACCGTGACCTGAAGGGGTCAGGAAGTGTTCATATTATTTGATTAGAAAAGGTACAAGCAAAATTCCTACTTCCATATGAGCATTTTTGAAGACAATAGAATTAAAAAAGATTTTCTAAAAAGGCTCTGAACCCAAAAGTAATTTTTAAAATGTCATTTATTTGTAAGCTGTGAAAATGCTAGAGAAACCCCATCTTGCCTGGTGAGAGGGACCAATCTGATTTTTATTTATGCCTCAACCTATGTAATGCATGAGGTGAAAAACTACTCTAGGGGCTCTACACGTGCTGAGAGCCCTGTCCTTGGGGAGGCTTCATCTGGCAGCCGATCAGGGGAGAGAAAGCTCTCTTCTTCCCTCTCTGCTCCCTTTTCTATCACCCTTCAGTAGGAACACTTATCTTTCTTTATCAATAAACAGTTCTCCAACATAATATTGCCATGCTCACACTTTATTTTCCTCTGAGAAATCTGTCGAAAAGAATCCTCCCCAACTCCCCTTTTACAGTGGGATGGGAAACCTGGGTTACACTGTGATGAAATCTCAGCTTTTTTCTCCTTACAATTAGAAGCCAGTAGAAGTAATTTTCAGTGTAGCAGATCTTACTGGGCTGGGTAGTAATAACTTCCAGGAAAATAGGCAAATAGCTCCTTTGTGAATGAGAGCAGGGCTGTAAAATGAAAATGAGAGAATGAAGCTCACTGGCTGAACATGTGAGTGAAAGAGAGATGTGTGTGATAAGGGCATACTTGAGGAATAATCTGTGAAACAGTCCCCTAGGAAGAGAATGTAAGTATGCACCACTGCTAGATCTACTAAAGATGCTTTATGCTTATGTAGATCTCTGTTTTTCATTTTTCTTTTAGTAATGCCAATGTTTATAGTATTAGTGTATCTACAGGGAGGGATAAAGCATTCTAAAGTCTTTGATTTGATGGAATGCTCAAGGTTGGCTATTTAGGAAGAGAATTCCTGCATTATGGCCCTCTTAGCTGAATTTAATAGTCTTTTACTAGTTTTACAATAATTTGAGCATCAAAATATGCTCTTTGGGAGACCCTTCCATTATTGTCTTTTAATGACCAAGATCCTCTGAGTCTTCCAGTAAGACAGCAAAATATTCTATCATGCTCAGTATTACAAGCCGGCTGGCATCCATGTTCTTATTTTTTGGCTCATATGTTTAATTTTGAAAAGCCCTGATGTGATTATTAAGAATAAGAGTCATTGATAAAATTTCATTGATGGGTGAAATTTATCTTGTACAGAATGGCAGCATGAAGCCAAAGTAAGATGTATGTGGGATATTAGCCTCTGATGGCTCTCTGCGAGGGAAGAATTCAATTAACAATAAATTTAATTATTTTGTTTTGATGAGTGGGGTTTTGAAGGCTTTCCTGAGTTTGTCAGCATAGCTAAGAA